TTTCTTTAATCTCCCTGATAACGAGCTGCTTTGCGAGCACTTCACTGCCCATTTCCTTTGCTGTGGGAAATTTCCCGTCCAGCCCAGGCTGCTGCCTTGGGGTGAGGCAGAGGATGCTCCCTGTCCGGGACACGGCCCCATCGCTGAGCTGTGATCCATGGGGTTTTCTCCTCTTGCGTTGTTCATGGCCCGAGCAGCAGAGTTAACGCTCCGCAACGTGACCCAGATGGCACATGAGGAGGAAGGTTGTCATCGTCCCCGGGGATGGGGACACCTTGGGAAACACAGGGCTGGGCAGGCGGGGGAGAAGGGATGGGGATGGGGTGAACTCCCAGGCTGTACGCACCCTCGTGTCGGATTAGGGACCAGGGCAGCCCCGGGCAACTGAGGCAGTGGCTGCGTGCCGTGGCTGGACTGTCCCATCACACACAGCAGCAAGGCCAAGCATGCGGTGGCCACGCTGTGGCCCCAGGCTTAGGAAGGGCCATCACTGCTCGCTGATGTGTTTCTGCTCCGTTTTTCACCTGCCAACCTGTGGTGTAACAAAAACCTCTCCGCCAACGTGCACAAATACCATGAGACAGCACAAATGTCTAGGAAAACAAAGTCTTTTCATCGGGCGAGTGAGCAGCGGTGGTGACGGTGTGTGACTGCTCTGTGTCACGGTGTGTGACTGCTGTGTGTGCAGTGACTGCTGTGTCCCCACAGAGCAAGCTGTGCATTTTGGCAGTGTCAGGCCCGGGAGGCTGGGGTGGTTTTGTTGCCGAGGGACCACCCCACGGCCTCCAGCGCCGCGCTGGGTTTTGCCTGTGCCTTTACTTCCTTCAAGCGGCAGCTGCCGCAAGAAAATCCCGGAGAACAGGCACAGCCAACGCCACCGTTTCGTAACGCGGGAGTCTGATCTCACTCCAGGTGGAGGAGTTTCACCCGGGACCGTGCTGGGATGAGGCAGGGCCGGACTGGTGGCTGCTGGGGAAGGCGAGGACGCCTCCCTCGCCACTGAGGCAAACCCGGCAGAGCCAGGCACAAGGAGCTTTTAAGGCGGCTCCAGACACCGTGCAGATGTGGGTACCCCCAGGACGTTGGTGGTGGTTGTTTGTGTACCCAGGGAGGGTGGGTGCTGTTGTCCCTTATTTGTCACCCATCCACTGCAGGTGCAGGCCCTGATGGGGAACAACAGGACCAACCCTGCACTGTACCCGCACCAAAGAGCCCCAGTGTCCGGGCACTGAGTCACTGCACAGGGGCAAGGACCCCAGGAACAGGGACTTCAGCGTCCGATCACGCAAGACTCCTGGCACAGAGTGGCTTCCAGCAGCGAGGGAGGAGCAAGCAGTCAGTTTGGAAACGTCCTGCAAACAAAGGTGAGAAGAAACTTATTAAAATGAAGTAAAAGTTTGGGAAAATGTCATCTAAATATGGTGAAATGCAGCTCTTGCTTAATGCCATTTCTGTTATTAAATGGCCTATTTAAAAGCACAGCTCATGCCTAGAGGAGACGTAAACCTGGGTCCTGCACACTGCTGCTGTGTCAGGATGGCCCCTGCAAAACCTGGGCCTGTTTGCTCACCTGGATTGCCAGCGCATCCTCCTTAAATTGGGGTTTTAAATTTTGGAATCCATGTGTTTTCATGATGGGACAGGGATGCTTCAGGCATCCTGCGTGGGGATGCTCTGCCAGCCACCTCTGTCCCCGTCCCCATCCCCATCCATCCTCATCCCCATCCCTGTCCGCATCCCCATCCCAGGTTGCCAGGTCAATGAGCACCCCAGGGGCTCTGTACCCCAACCACATCCCCATGTGCCCGTGTGTTCTCAGTTTTAATCTGATCTAAATCTTTCATTGACTTTCTTAAATGGCAGAAAATATTTACTAGTTTGTCTTGCCAGTCTCTCTGGATTTAAATGCATTTCAATGTACTTCGGCTGGGTCTAACATCGCAGGTAACAGGGCGTGCAATGGAAATCATCTCTGCATCACAGTGAGGCATCATAAAATCTGCTGGGTTTATACTGCTATCAAACTCTGTATACGGTTTAAATCTGCAGAACGTCCTCAGCACCTGACTCGGGTTTGTTTTGAAATCCTGCCTGGGGATAGTAAGATTTAGTAGCACAAATTCTCACCTTAAAATAGCAGCACAAGATGTTCTATTTGCTCACAACGTGAATGCGAAATATGCGGCATCCCTCAGACCGCAGCCATACCGATAGTATCTGAGGGCAAAGGAATTCGGTGGGGAAAAAAGAACAGCCCGGGCCGTTGTTGCTGCTGGGGCTGGGAAGGGGCTCCAGGCCCCCATCCTGCCCCCACAGCCCCGTGCTCTGCGGTGCCTTTTGCTTTTAACCACTGTTGTCTTCGGTACTGTAATAGATTGAGCACCCAGCGCTGTCAGCGTGGATTGCACCCAAAGCAGCCCCTGGGGGGGTCCCACTGCTCCGGACAGAGGTTTTGGATGATGCAGGGATGCGTCTGCATGCAAACACGACCTCCTAAAACCTCTGCACACAAACACTGACTCCCTAAAACCTCCTCTTGTTGGTTACCTGCCCAGCCCATGGCCAGCACAGGGCAAGTGACTGTGGCCAGGTCCAGCGGGTCCGGGTCACCAAAGTCCCATGGGGGCAGCAGGGACCTGGCAAAAGCAGTCGCCACTTTTGAGACTGCAAAGCACAAACCTCCCCATTTCGCTCTCAAGGGGACACAGACAGGGCCCTGCAGAGCATCGGCTCTGAGCCCCTGGGCTGTAAACCCATGGTTGTGCCACCCCATAACACCCGAGGCTGCTCAGTGCCACCCCTGTCCCTCACCATAGATGCCCTGGTGCCTCTCTCCCACTCGCAGGGCCCATGAACCTGAAGAAGTATTTCATCCGGGCGCTGCACCGCCTGCAGAAGGGCCCTGGCTACACCTACAAGGAGCTGCTGGTCTGGTACTGCGACAACACCAACACCCACGGCCCCAAGCGCATCATCAAGGAGGGCCCGAAGAAGAAACTCGTCTGGTTCTTCCTCACGCTGCTCTTCGCGTCCCTGGTCTTCTGGCAGTGGGGGATCCTCATCAACACCTACCTCTCCTACAACGTCACCTCGTCCCTCTCCATCGGCTTCAAGACCATGAAGTTCCCAGCGGTCACCGTCTGCAATGCCAACCCCTTCAAGTAAGTTTGGCTTTGCCCAACTGACCCACTCACGCGTCAACACCCCAATTACACCACCAGGAAGGTTACTGGGACCCGTTCCTGTCTCAGACACCACGTTAGGGGTGGAAATGATCCATTAAATCACCCAACGGTGCTGAAAACCAAGGGGAACGATCCCAACTCAGCTTCGCCTGCATGATTCCCTGCGTCTCCTCCCCTTCTCAGTGAATCCAGACATGGTTGTTGTGTCCCTGCAGACTTTCCCTGGCTCAGGGAAAACTTGAGGTTCAGCTCGAGCCAGAATCAGCCTCTCCATCTGCCCCCACCATTCCGTGACCGCTCCTCTTATCGCTGCACTCCACCATCAAGAGCTGCTCAAACAGCAGCACCGGCCGGGCTCTGCGCTGCTTTAACCCCACTGTCGTTTTGATGCAGTGACCGGGTTTTGTTACACTTGCTTTAAACTTATATCCGTGCAATAGCGTAGCCCAAGGCAAGGTGCTCTCGTCCAACACACCGGAATTTGTTGGTTTGTTTCCTTTCTGGAGTTGTTTTGTGTAAACTCCGGTGAGTTGCTGCCACACAACCACCTCAGCTCCGCGCTGGCAGGTTCACCGCGCTTTTTTCACCTCACGCTGCTTTTCCACCCAGTCACAGGCTGGGATGCTGTGTCCGAGGTCCCTGGGATGGTCCAGGCCATGGGGGTGGTAGGTGAGTCCCTGCACATCCCCATCGCCCTGGCACCGCCTGGTCACCCCCTTGTCCCGCAGGTACTCGGAGGTGAAGCATCTGCTGAAGGAGCTGGACAGGCTCATCGAAGCGGCGCTGGAGAGGATCCTGCAGCCCAAACCGGGCAACGGCAGCGAGAGCATCTCCCCCCCGCTCGACCTGCGGCTGTGGCACCAGATCCCGCTGGTCCTCATCGACGAGCACGACAAGGACAACCCCGTCATCCTGGACATCTTTGAGAGCATCCAGAGTGAGGGGGGCAACCAGAGCTCCATGGGCAACCAGACCTCCATGGGCAACGAAACGACTGTGGGCAATGAAACCACTGTGGGCAACGAAACCTTCGTGGGCAACGAAACGGCTCCTCCTCCAGCCAACACAACAATACAAGCTGGCGGTGAAGCTGGTGAGAGGGGCACAGCGGGAGGCATCTGGGGGTGGGGGATGCAGTGGGGAGGTTGGGGTCTCTGTGCTAGGGCCATGGGGTGCCCATGCTGGCAGCATCCTCGGAGCAAGGCAGTTTGCAGGTTCTCAGGGAGATTTCAAGGCTCTGGGCTGTTTAGTTGGGGTTTTTTGAGGAAGGCAGCACAGGGGTATTTTAAGATTTTTTTAAAAATCCTAAACTCCAAGTCCAACCGTTAACCCAGCACTGCCAACCCCAGCAAGTCATAGCTGAGACATTTCAGCTTCGCTGGGCTTGTGGACACAGCAAATGGTTCGATGGTTTGATTGTTTGATGGTTCAACGGTTCGATGGTCGGACTTGATGACCTTAAAGGTCTTTTCCAACCAAAACCATTCTCTGATTCTATGAAAACGGATGCAGGCTTCTGTGTCCCCAAGCTCAGGAAGTTGAAATGTCTCAGCCGTGGGACCCCGTGGACGTGGACATCTCCTGGGGGGGGTCCCATCTGCAAACAGACGCCGTGGCTGCTCCACAGCTCGCTCTGGCCGTGCCCTCACCCTGGGGGCTGCAGGTGGGGCTGGCACCGAGCCGGGGCGCGGGGAAGGGGGCTCACACGGTCCCCCCCCCAGCCATGGGATGGGGCCACACCTGCCCAATCGCTGTCCCCAGTGCAGCCACCCCGGCTCCGACAACTGCACCTACCGCAACTTCAGCAGCGCGGCGCAGGCGGTGAGCGAGTGGTACGTCCTGCAGTCCACCAGCATCCTGGCCACCGTGCCGCTGCCCGACCGCGTCCGCATGGGCTACCAGGCCGAGGACATGATCCTGGCCTGCCTCTACGGCGCTGAGCCCTGCAACTACAAGTAGGTGCACCCTCGTCTAAGGTAAAGGCAGGGCAGCCCCGTCCTTTTCTCTTTTCTGGGGTATGTATCAGTTATTAAAGAGTTTTCTGCTAGTTCTTAACTAACAGCATTTCCCAGAGGGTTCCTGGGTGGGATCCTGGGTGAAATGGGTCATTTTGGGGTGGTGCTGGCGTGAGGTTTAGTTTTGGATGGGCCGTTTTTCTCATGATACACCAAGACTAAGGGCGTCCCCAGGGTGTCCCCAGGGTATGTGGTGACAGCAGCGTTCCCCGGCACCGCAGGCAGCCCCTGGTTACAGACCCTCATTTTACACCAGGCTCTGAGGAACACATTTCAGCCACCCTCGTTCCTTATGAACACCAAGGTGAACATCCAGATCTGAGAACTGTGAGCACACACAGGGAGTCCTGCCCCTTCGACAGAGAATTGTTATCAAATCGTTATCACAACAGCAGCCAAAGCTGTTACAGCTCGGATCACACCACTATTTCTGCCTCCTTTATGGGATGGACAACTCCTCTCCACCCCCACGAAGCGTTATCCCCCATCGCTCCCTCTCAGTCCACACCAGCGCTGCGCTTGTTTGGTTTTCAGTAGCAGATGGATTGCAATTACATCAGTCAAAATTCTCATAGAGGAATTCAACAAATGAATCAATCCAAAGCGAGTCCCACACCTGACCACCAAGCACCGGCCCCTCCAGATGCGTTATTTTATAGCCCTGTGTGCACGGTTCTTGCAGGAACTTCACCCAAATCTACCACCCGGACCACGGCAACTGCTACATCTTTAACTGGGGCATGGACGAGGAGGCGCTGAACTCCTCCAACCCCGGAGCTGAGTTTGGTGAGAGCGAGCTCTGCTGTGGGGATGGGGCTGAGGTGCTGGGGTTGCTGTCCCTCGGTGGCCGTTTCTGGCAGAGCTAACAGATTTTGGGTTTCTGTGCCTCTGGAGCATTGCTCCAGGGAGTGAGGGCTTTCCAGAAGGGGATAAAAGGGGAATGTGTCCACAGAAACAAGTAACGCGAGTCCAGATGTTACTCTGCAGAAGTGTAACATCTGGGCAGCTGAAATCTCTGAGACAATGAATGTTCACCCAAATATTCCCACCCTGAGCATTCGCCATTGTGCGTATTTAAGCACACCCAAAGCCTGCTGTGATGCCTTCCCAAGGAGCCGAGCTTTCCGTGCACAGCAGGAAGAAAGCACGCTCCATTTCTCCCCAAAAAGTCACGTTTGGGTGCAGTTCCCGCCCTGAGCGTTTTGTCTGGTGTGGCAGGGCTGAAGCTGATCCTGGACATCAGCCAGCAGGACTACATCCCCTACCTGTCCTCGGCCGCCGGCGCCCGCCTGATGCTGCACCAGCAGAGGAGCTTCCCCTTCCTGAAGGACCAGGGCATCTACGCCATGGCGGGCACCGAGACCTCCATCGGCGTGCTGGTGGTACGGCACAAACCTCCACTGGGTGCTGGTGGGGTGGCATAAACCTCCATTGGGTGCTGGTGGGGTGGCATAAACCTCCACTGGGTGCTGGTGGGATGGCACAAACCTCCATTGGGTGCTGGTGGGGGGGCATAAACCTCCATTGGGTGCTGGTGGGATGGCATAAACCTCCATTGGGTGCTGGTGGTATGGCATAAACCTCCACTGGGTGCTGGTGGGGTGGCACAAACCTCCCTCAGGTGCTGGTGGTATGGCACAAACCTCCCTTGAGTGCTGGTGGGATGGACAGCACAGAGCTCCACGTGTGGGTATTCACCCTATGCAGAGCACACAGCTCCCTCGGGTGCTGGTGGTATGCGCGGCATCCCTCTCCCGCAGGTCTCCGGAGCATAATGTTATCTGATGGGACCCAGACCAAGTTTGCTCTGGGTCTTGGCTGAACTGGCTCAAACCAAAAGCGTCGAGGTGTTGGCCGGCTGGAGCAGTTTATGGAGGGTTTTATGTAACTGTCCTGGCAAAGCGCTTTATTGAAGCCAAAATATTGAGTCTGGGTCATTGTTCCCTCCTCCTTCGGCCCGTCCAAGGCCTTGCTGAGATGTGCTGCTCCCTCCTCTGCCTCCATGGGGAAGGGGCTGCTTCGCTCCCAGCTCTGCCGCCCACCATCCCTTGGTTTAAGTCAGGAACACAGGGGTTACAGAGCCTCTAGACCCGGCTGTTTGGGTTTTCCTTCAGGATGAGCTGGAGCGGATGGGCTACCCCTACAGCGACTGCACCATGAACGGCTCTGACGTCCCCGTGAAGAACCTCTACAGCCAGTACAACACGTCCTACTCCATACAGGTAACACACGTCTGAACCGCACCAGGCTGTCTGGGAGAAACCATCAACGCGGTTAAAACCCTTGCCCATTACTGGGATTACTGGAGCACAGCAGAGATAACACAGAACAGCAAACCCAAACATGGGAACCCCTTGAATGGGAATAAACCCACACTGCAGCGTGCAGCCAGGACCTACCTCAAAATCTGGGGAAGCAGCAGCAAAAACGCATTGAAGGTGATCGGTGCCCGCGGTGCAGCCGTTCCCAGGGCCGTGGCGAGGCCGGGTGGTTCGTGCTGTGGTGCTGGTACCCCCCATGGCGTGGGGCGATGCTCGTGGATGCTGCGGGATGGGGTCACCCCATGGCAGGGACAGGTCCTGGCAGCGCCTGCCCCTTCTGCGTGCACCAAAAATCCTGCAAAAGGGAGAAAATAACCCAAGAGGTGAGTGAGGGGCTCAGCCTGGGTCTGAGTGGCCCCCTCTGCCCTTTCCCAGGCTTGTCTGCGCTCCTGCTTCCAGAACCACATGGTGGAGATCTGCGGATGCGGCCACTACATGTTCCCTTTGCCCGAAGGGGTAAATTACTGCAACAACGACGATAACCCAGGCTGGGGTAAGAGCATGAACCAGGCTTAAATGTAAGAGAGGGTGGAATCATGGTCACTCTGGGCTTTGGGAGGTGATGGAGACTCTGGGTACCAAAGGGTTTGGGTCCCGAGCTAAGCCAGGCCAGCCAGGGCCATGGGGTCCAGTGAAGGAGCCCTCTGGGCTGTGCCAAAACCCTGGCACCGGGTGAGCTGGTCCTGTAGCAACTGTCTGCCCAAAATTAACATGTGTTTTTAATTTATTATTAAATTGCCTGACCGCTTTGCCCGAGTTTCTCAAGGAAAGCAAAGTTGGAGGGGAAGCCAGCCAACCTGTGCGGCGGGTTCATAGCTAAATATTTATTTGGTTAAATGAAAGTGATATAGCCCTGTAAGCGGGGCCCTTCTCTAAACAGCTGCTTTGGTTCTTGCTGTCACAGCGTATTGCTATTCCTCCCTGAGGTCGAGCATAAAACACAGGCAGATCTGCATCGACTCCTGCAAGGAAACGTGCAAGTAAGTGCGTACGGCATTTTTGGGGCTGCAGCGGCACAGGGTCCTCTGTTTCGCCTCCCATTGACCCCAACCTTCCTAAAACAGCAGCAAATGCCTCAGGGCTGCTTTGCTGCTTCCCCCTCTTCGGGGAAGGGGAGCCCCATCCCCACGTCCCTCTCCTCTCCCCAGCGACACGCAGTACAAGATGACCATCTCCATGGCAGACTGGCCCTCCGAAGCCTCCGAGGTAACGCTGGCTCCTTGCTGTGAAGCGCCCCTCACTCATCCCCTGCCCTAACCACATGAGCCACACAGGTTTTCGGAGCTGATGCCCCGGTAGCAGCTGCCTCTTTGCCAAATTACGCGTTTTCAGCACACAAACAAGAGCGCCAGGGGATGAGGAGGGACACCCCCATGGCGGCTCCTCCTCCTGGGGGTCCTGCCCCAAGTCCTGCAGCCCCCTGGGTTCCTGCCCCCCCGGGTGCCTCTGCTCAGGTCTGAACAAACCCTGTTTTCCCAGGACTGGATTTTCCATATTCTGTCGTACGAAAGGGATATGTCAACAAACGTGACTCTGGACAGGTAAGTGACAGGAACAACCACTTCATCTCTGCCGTTAGCCCGTTAACACGACATTAACAGGGCCCTTGGCTGGAGCCCAGCGCACACGAGTGCTCCTGAAGGGAGGACGAGGTTTGGCGCGCGTTTGCCTGGGGGATACGGACAGGGAACCCAAAACGTGCTCCCTGCGCATCCTCTGCTCTCCATGGGGACAAACCACAGCCGCAGGGCTCTGAGCTGCAGCTTCTCCCTTACAGGAACGGGATCATCAAACTCAACATCTACTTCCAGGAGTACAACTACCGCACCATCTCGGAGTCTGCTGCCACCACGGTGAGCGCCCATCCCTGACCTTCTGCCCAAGCCAACCAGCCCGGCAGCTCGGCCCTGGCTGGAGTCGCTCCCCACCGGGCGCCTGCTGTGCCCTTGGTGCTGCTGCTTCACATGGAGCCCCCAGTTCCTTCTTTCCCTCCACCTCCATCACCAGTGCAGGGCAGGGGAGGGACTTGGCGGGTGCCAGGGACAGGGGCATCACCCGACTTGGTGATGGGCAGGGGTTGATCAGGGACTGGTGTCCACCGCCACCGCCATGGCTCACTCTGCTCTGATCCCCAGATCGTGTGGCTGCTGTCGAGCCTGGGAGGCCAGTTTGGGTTCTGGATGGGGGGCTCGGTGCTGTGCCTCATTGAATTCGGGGAGATCATCATCGACTCGCTGTGGATCACCGTCATCCACGCCATCGGCTGGTGCAAAGGCCTGAAGCAGAGGCGGGCGCAGGCGCGGTACCCAGACGCGCCCCCCACGGTGTCGGAGCTGGTGGAGGCTCACACCAACCTGGGCTTCCAGCATGAGGACGCGGGCGTCCTGCGCAGGGACC